GAACAAGGCGAACACTTTCACCAAGAAATAGGTACAATTAAAAAAAACGTTTCGGGGGAAATTGGTGGAACGGTTACTGTGGGCGTGGCTACACCCATTTCCCAAAAATTTATAATATTATTATTTTTCGTCTCAAAATCCTTGTAGATATCAATTTTGAGTGACCAAGCTTCCCTAGTTAGCAAAATATCACCGTTTTCGTATTTCTGAAAACTACCGTTATATGGGAGGTAATTGTGGATTAGTGATTGAGTTTTACAATTAATTTAGGACTAGTATGGGTTTCTTATAAAATAGTTCGTAAAAACCTCACCAAAGTTGAAAGAAGTTGAAAAAAAAAATAAAAAAAGTGTTTGGTGGGTAAATAACACAGAGATGTCTTATGTTTCTTCTTTTTAAACCTGGCAATAAACCGAAACTCGGTTCATACTGAACTAAGTTACAGTCTTATAAGTGCGCAAAAGTACGAAGAACCGGTTTTTTTTTAACGGTAAATTAAGATTTTGGGGGTGTTTGGCAAATTTCATATTTCGATTCTGATTTTACTCGAAAATACCTACCAGAAAATATACATAACTTCCCAGGTTTTTCTACTTTATGCTTTTTTGTAGCTCTGTGTAATCAGCAACCCCATGATACTTTGAATAACAATTTTTTTTTTACGTTTTACAAGATTTTATTTAACTTCACTTGTATGTATGTATGTCCGGGAATTTTGCAATCATAGCTAGAAACTCCGATCTGGGTTACCACTTTGATAAATTTTTACCAAAATTGGTATACAAAATTTTGCTTGGTAAAGAGTTAATTTTTTTTAAGTATTTTGTATGAAAAACAAATAAACCTTTTTGTGCCCGCTTTAGTTTTCGTAGTTATCTTTATATTACAAACTTCTTAAAAAAAAGCGTAAACTACTTAATTGCATTAATTTTCAAACGCTTTAATGCAAACATTTTATATACTTACATATATATGTATGTATGCATATCGATAAAAGGCGAACATATGGCTCCATCCAAACTAATTTCACTGGATTCCTGAGGAGCTTTGGATTGCCTTAATATTTAAATGATTCTTTAGGTAAAACGAAAAAATGGACAGGTATGTAATTACACACTATGATGTTCGCAAAAAAATTTAAAAATCAACGCCCGTTTTTATAAATGGCAATTATTAAATGAAAAAAAACACAAACGACCGGCTGCAAAAAAAAATATGAAAAAAATGAATTTTTGGTTATACTAAAATTCCATGCCCTATGCATCCACATATGCACAAAACTGCATATCCAAAAATTTTCTAAAAGTTCAGAGTAAAAATTTCGAAATTTTGAGGAAATTTTTTTAATTTTTCTAAATGTTGTACATACATATATATGTAGCTTGAATGCTTGATTTTTATGAATTTGGTTAAAGCGCAGACAATATTCTTATACAAAAAAAAAAATCACTTGAAAAACATAGTTAGTTAAGTCTTGAGTGTAACAGAACAAGAGACAGGAGAATATGCTCTGAAGTTTCATCATCTTTAAGGCAGAGCCGGCATTGCGATCTGTGATCACACCTATCCGATGCAAGTGTAATCGCAATTGGTTGTGACCAGTCAGGGCAAAGTAATTTCACCCTCACAAAGCATAGCGTCGACCTATAGATAGAGTGGCAGCTTGAAACTTGTAGGATAAAGCGAAGCCCGAGGGGTAAGCTAGTTTCAAAAAAATCTAAACATTCTAAGGAAAGTTCACCTAAGGTGTGCATAAAAATTCAAAACACTGCCTACGTTAATGAATGATCTATTGAGAACATCTTTCTTGTGCGCAAATGTATGGCTAAAGTCATTGCTGGCGCAGAAAGTCCAAAAACTAACGAGCATTCACAATGAAGTACATACTCTGATCTTGAAATATCAACTGGCTACACAAATCCGTATTGATATACATATATAAATAAACGGAACAACAAATTCCAGAAGCGCATGATTCACAGCTGTTCGCTGAACGCCAGCAACAACCCGTTCTTTCCAAACGTCTGAACGTTGACATTTGGAATCAGATACTACGTTTATACGCATGCATAAGTCGCTTTAATTCATTTCGCCGCGATTCAAAACATATCGCTCATTTGCTGCAAGACCGGCATAACTCAAAAAACGTGATTTTTGAGTTAATGATGTAGAATTATTCGTTATACCATACTTCATGTTGTGTAAAAAATTCATAATAATATCTCTTACACACTCTTATACACTCCGCTTGCGAAGAGAATACGCCGTTATTTCATTTCATCTGTTTCAACTTTTTTTATACGAAAGAGCGACATATCTCAGTTGTGCCACTGCTGCCGTCGTGTTAAGATCGTTTGGCTTTCTCAAATAGAGGCGTATTTTGTGTTGTGGAGTTCTTTGTGAAAAGGTAATGGTATTTTTAATCTAGATTATTTCAAGTAGACAGCGCTAATTTGAGTTATGACTATGCTGATGAAAAGTTTGATTTAATTCAAACTTTGTATAGTACAAAATATGACGTTCTTGTTGATAAAAATACTACCGTCAACTTAAGTATTTCGTGTTATGACGTTATTACATATAAAAGAATGACTATTAAACAGTCAGCCTTTTACATTATAACAAAATGCGTCGTTGTTGAACATAGCATTATTTACAGTAACAATAAATAGCTCTCACTAACACAAAATATGACGCTATTGCTGATAAAAATTATAGCTATATATGAATAAAACGCACGATCACATTAATAAGTTTTTGTTTTAGCTTATTTTAAAATGTCAAACTGCAACAGCAGCAAATCCTCATCGTCAACTTCATCTTCGAGTTTATCCCGATCATCCTCTTTTTCAGGAGACTGACGACTCCATGGCTGATGTAACATACTGCCCAAAATCACCACAGCAAGAAAGTGATAGCGAGGATAGCAACGATAAAACATTTAATCCATCAGCCAATTCTACGACTGTATTCCTCCCACTTTTGGAGAATTGTCAGCGTGACACCGCTAGTACAGTTGTGCAGCAAAGTGTTGATAGCACATCGATTTCTTACGCGGCACCATCACTCAGTAATTCACAACCTGGCACTTCAACTTCAAAAATGGTAAGTTCTTCCATGATTCCAAATAGTCCATTGAAAAAGGGGAAAAAAGAGCAAAACAGCCAGAAAAATGGAAGAGGAACATCATTAAAAAGAAAAGAAATAGTGGAATGGAGTATGAATCACACACGCTGATAAAAAAAGTTAAACCTGCAAGACAAATGAAAACTCCATGTGCTGAGACTTGTAAGCTCGAATGTTACAAAAATTTTAGTGATGACGAACGAAAACATTTGTTTAACTTATACTGGGCCCTTGGTGACATAGAAAAGCAAAGACAATATATCGACAAATGTATGCAAAAAATTGAGCCCAGATACCGGTACATGCGCATTGGGGGAACCAGAGGGCCTCGCAAAAATAATAATGCGTTTTTTTTAAAACAAGGTGATGAGATTGTGCGCGTTTGCAAACTGTTTTTTAAAAACACCCTGGCTATCACCGATCGTTCAATTAGAACCGTATTGGATAAGCATCAAAAACTCGCTAACCAAATATTAGAACCCGACCAAAGAGGTAAACACGGGAAACAGAAAAAACTTGATCCTAAATTAAAAGCTGGAATTAAGGAATTCCTAGATAAAATACCAAAAATTGAAAGTCATTACACAAGAGCAAACACATCCAAAACCTTTATTGAAGGAAGCAAAAGCGTAACAAGCATATATAACGACTACGTAGACATGTGTAAAGAAAAAAATGAGCCGTTTTGCAACTACATTTATTTCTATAGAACTTTTACGGAGGATTTCAACATCTCATTTTTCGTCCCAAAAAAAGATTTGTGTGAAGAATGTACATCATACAGTAACATGGATGAAGTGGAGAAAATTAATATGAAAGAAATGTATGAAAATCACTTGCATGAAAAAAATTTGTCAAGAGATGAAAAAAAAAGACAAAGAAGATATGAACGTATTTGTAGCAGTGTATGATTTACAAGCTGTCATGCAATTACCTAAGGGCGATGTCTCCGCATTTTATTACAAGTCAAAACTAAATGTTTTCAACTTCACTATATATGACATAAAAACGAATAAATGCCAATGCTTTGTATGGGACGAAGCCAATGGACGCCGTGGAGTTAATGAATTATGTACGTGCGTTCTACAATATATTAAAAATTTGTCGACCACAGAAGATGCTGAAATAATATTTTATTCGGATAACTGTGCCGGACAGCAAAAAAACAAATTCATGATTGCCATGTACTTATACGCCGTGCGCTATTTGGGTATAAAATCAATCACCCACAAGTACCTTATCAAAGGTCATACACAAAATGAAGGCGATTCAGCTCATTCCTTAATCGAGAGAGAAACCAAGCGTATGCTTAAAAGTGGTCCCATTTATACAACTGAAGGATTTGTATCAATAATCCGATCGGCAAAGAAAAGAGGAGACCCATTTAATGTTAACGAGCTATGTTTTGAGGATTTTTTAGATTTAAAAATACTGGCAAATGACATCGGTCCATTAAATATGGCAGATTTGAAACTGTCGCTAGTAAAAACAATTCGAGTTCAACGAGAATCACCAAATTCTGTTTTTTATAAGACCGCTTACGCTGACGAAAAGTTCAAGGAGGCGATTGTTATTAAAAAAAAGATGCAAGCAAAAGCGATTTCTTTAAACAAAGCTTTTCATACCAAACCAGGTATACCAGCAAATAAGAGAGCCGATATTAATGACTTGATTAAAAAAAAACTTATTCCAAATTTTTATAAACCATTTTATGATAATTTGTAAAAATTTCATAGTCAGACTTTCGTTACCAATATATTTTGGTATTTAGTTATTATTTTTTAATTACTTAAAGTAGAAAATTA